TTTGATAGCGTTCCCGAGTCACTACATAATGGGCCTAAACTAAAGAGTTGTTACATGTATTTGAAGACAAAATAATGGGCCTAAACTAAAAGCCCTGCCCACTAATTATACTCCTAAATCCTGATTAACTACAACTAAACAGTTTCAATACAAGCTGAAAACTTCAATGTAGTGTCGTGAACTTGAGGCGCGATTTTGGGCCTGAAAAAGTTCAAACCAGGTTTTTCTCCCATCATATAAGTTGTAGATATCCCTCTTATCTTTCCAGGGACACCAAAATTTGGCAATTCTGAGTTGTATGGATCCAGATATGGTCTGTAAAAGAAATTGTGTCAAAATAGGAAATTATTACGGGAATTTAGTAAAATTTACAACTAAATCCTAAATGACTCACTAACACAAATATAAACTAATACATGAATATATGACACTAAAAGAAATCAAATAAGGCAAAAACACAAATAAAAATGTACTAAAATATGACTATCACAAGCAAAGATACAGGCAAACCCACCTACCAAGAGGAATCAACATGGAGCATTCACATGATGACAGGAAGCCGAAGGTTCAAGCCGAAATGACTTTCCATCCTTACCTACCTCTGGAAAATCCAGTCTCAATGCCTTGTTATCCAAGGAGCAAAAAAAAATGCAAAAAAATCCACTTGACTGAAGGAATCAACATAGGAGCATTCGCGCCTTATGAAGACAAGAAGAGAATAACCCTTAAGGGCCTGACAAAGCACCAAAATGGACCAGGACAACACTCGGAGGCCCAGAAGGCTCAAAGCTAGGGATAAGGCTTGGAACGACCCTTCACAAACTTGGAATGATTGTTCCCAATTCAAAATTTGCATAGAAACCCAAGTTGGGAATGACCTTACTTAAACCTGGAACTGCCATTCCCAACAGAAATTTTGTACTATAATCCTAATTGGGAACAACCTGTTTCCAAAGCCTAACTTAGTGCAATTTTAAAGGCTAGAACGGTCGTTCCAAGGTTAGGAACGACCATTCCAATTTTAAACTTGCTAGAATATTAATATATCTATTGTCTAGCTCCATGCATAACATATTAGGATGACAAGAGTGGCAAAATCATTACGTCCATGTACTCCTCAGAATGTAGTAAGAAACCACTACGTCTGAAAATCCTAGTCTGATACTACACCTAAGTAATTTCCCATATGTTTATTTGATCCTTGCGTCTAGGAATTTTGTTGATCGTACTTCAAATCTATAATAATCATCATCGGAAGGCATGTCTGTCAATGGTAATCAAGCACCTTCCATTATTAATGGATAAGCTTCTCAATGAATAAGCTATATGACCGTCACTTGTGTGTCTATTAGAAAAGACACTTCCCTTATCTGAAATTAAATGCAGCTGCACGCCACTCTACACGAGGAAGACAGACAGGTGCCACATAATGCATGTATTAAAAATAATCATAAAAGCTGAAGTTCTCTCTGGCTATAAAAACCCCATAGGGCTCTTAGGAATCAAAGTCATGCACAACACGATTCAAACTTTCACATACTTCATCTTTCAATCCTCTCTTCTGATGTTTCTTTAAAAAAAAAATAGCCCTCGCTATCTCGCTCTCTTGAAGACGTGATCAGTAACACATGTGAAAGCATCACTATAATATCAACTATATTAATGAAAGTTTTATACTCTTTTGTATCCACACTATAATTGTCATCTACACTAACTTGGTGTTGATACACTACGTCTTCTCGAATATTCCTCAAGAATTCCTAGGAGGAATGGTGTCTAGTGCACACCAATCTTCTCAAAACAAGAATCCTAAGTCAGAATAGCAGAGGAAGACACAACCCGAAATGGACAGAGAAGTGAAAAAAATTGTTCTGAAGTTGTTGTTGAAGAAGCACAAGAAGAATGGGGAGTGGGCTTTGGCAAAGAAGAAGGGAGAAGCAAGTTCATCTGCAGGAAAAACTCATTGAATGCGCTTCTTCCATAAAAACGACATTCTTCTTTAGAAATCTAGAAAATCCTCCTCTTTCAAAAAGCTTCCCCTACTCCAATAGATCCTCACAAGGCTTCCCTGGAGCTTCTTCCATGCATCAAAACCTTGTGATCACCATAGAAGAAATAGGAAAATAGGGATAATTGCGTAAAAACTTCTCTGTATAAATTTCTCATGATGTACATATTTCTAAGTCAAGTCAATAATATATTTACATTTTCTTATCTAGAATTATTGGCTGATATAGGGAATAATCTACTCAATGCTATTTTCCTTTCTTGCTGGATATAATAACTCTTCTAGTGTCAGACTGTTTCCAAAAACTTATCCATTTCATCTGAATAATCATAATAGAAAAAAGTGTTTTCATTTGATTATATAGAGTCTTCATGTTGCACACATTTTTGATTTTGATCAATGCATTTTTAAAATTTTGGTTGATGTATAAATTGATCTGCTCATGACTATAGGTTCCCTTACTCCCTAAGCATCTCGCTTACTATATAAATATTTTTGATGTTTGAATATCCGTAGAAACTCATCATTCTTGATGACTACAAATGAGAAAAGTGATAGTATGATTCGCTTGTCGTACATATTTTTTTCTTGTGTACATCTGCAGTTCTACTCAATCTAATCTAACTAAGTATATATGCTTCATTTAGAGTTATCATCTTGATGAGTAAAATGCTCTGATCAATGTTATGATGAATAATCTTGCATGGAATCTCATTTGTTATACCACTTACTTTGAAATAGAGATCCTCTTAAAAAAACTATCGTTCTGCCTTGATACTCACCCTAGTGTTAATTTCTTTTTGATGATTACAAAGGGGGCGAAATAGAAAAGAATTAATCAAAAACAATCAGAAATAGGCAAAGAAACAATCTAGTAAGGGGGAGAACATATACTAAGGGGGAGAAACATAACGAACCTGCCAATCTGCCATAACATACAAATACCTCTAATTTAGTTTATCTGAAACCATTTGATCAATTATATTTGTCATCATCAAAAAGGGGGAGATTGTTAAGTTAGACGAAGCAACTCCTAGTAAGGTTTTGAATGAGACAAATATAATGCATATTGTTATTTTTAACAAGTGTGTTAGTATTTCAGATAAAGACATAATTACAGGCAAACTGAAGAATAAAGAATATACATGTATTATCATCTACACCAAAACCAAGAGATATGAGCTCAGCACCGGATAAAGGCTGATCAAAAGAAGGAAATACATCAGACAAAGACACCCACAAATGCAGACACAAAGGAAATAAAGAACAAGAGCACGAGAAACCAAGATGAAGGGAAAAAGCTAACAAGACGTCAGATGAGGAGATCAAACGATCAAATGAAATCAAGCCCAGCACAAGAAGGAAAATAATGAAGCCTCAGATGATACAAGACCATGGACGATGGACAAAACTAAGTCAAAGCATCCTAGACGAAGTCAAGATCTTGCACAGCTGACCAAATGGAGACTCAAATGCACAGACAAAAACTAAGAAGGTTGGATTGCGTCTGAAGTCACAACGAGAAGAACTACCTAGCATCCACACTCTTAGAAGATGAGAGAGTGTAGTTTTAGGGTTATGTGGTACAAGGATAATTAAGATATTTAAGAAATATTATTAAACGGGTATTCGCGGGTATGAATATCATCATACCCGCCCCCGCCCCATTTATAAACGGGTAAAAAATTATCCGTTCTCATTATCCACGGGTACCCGATTAGTCTATCAATTTATTATTCGTAGCGGATTTTACTCGCAGATACCCGCAGGTGCAGGTATTTTTGCCATCCCTAACCACTACCTACCTTGGTAGAATATTGATTTTTCCTCAAAAAGGAGTGGCCTAGTACCAACTATGTGTATATAGTGTACAGTCCCTTCACCACTTTCTACTCTCTAATCCAATCTTCCACAAAATACAGGCTGTCACAAGTTAATCAAACATGCCCTGAAAATAACCAGTACAAATTTTTCTGTTAAGACAACAAACTCGCCACCTACTTTTTGTGTTGTATTCCCTTTTGTGGTTAGTGCGTTCAAAGAAGTTAAAACTTACTAATACACATAAATTAGCAAAACGACATTGAAACATGATAGATAATACATCATCGGTGAGCAAAATGCAATAACATGGTTCTTTTTGGCGTTCTTAGAAGAAAACACAAAACATGTTTAGCTTATTTCAAGCATAAACGTCAAAAACACAAACTGACACCAAGACAGATTGACTCACATACACAACGACAACAAGAACTTCTTGTTACATTTTGCAAAATACACACAAACGACTAAGACCATGGTGACAATATGAATATCAAATAACTATGCATACCGCCATCTTGTCAAAATGGAGACAACATCACCTCTTATTACATTTTTGGAACACACAAATATGATGATGATGATCACTTGTGCAAGACAAGCATGCAAAGATTACAATCTATTCCAAGTAAAAGTCTCAACTCTCAAGAACAAATTAAATGTCCCCATGGCACAAAAATTCCAGTTACCAAACAACATATCAGTAGCTAGGGAGGTCAACAATTTGAAGCATTTGAATTACTTGGACTTAAGCAACAATGATTTCATAAGTGAATGTTAAATACCAATCTAAAGGAGAAAATAACTTAATCAGGTTCCTTAAATCATCAACTGGTGATCAAGTAGCCTAACAATGACAAAACCACATTAGAAGAGTAAAGGTATAAAATAAGAAAGCCAATAAGCTAAAACGATTCTTTTGCACTCTAATTTGAAAGCATGTTACTTGTAGGGAACTGGATATCACTCTC